CCCAGAAGTGTAATAAAAACTAAAACTGCACTGGACAGTCTGTCTTGCGAATGAGGTGTGGATCAGGAATCCTTTCATTTTGGGAGGAGAATTTCAAATTTTCTTAGAGGTTTTCATGTTCCTTCTTAATGGATCTCTGCAGTTGGCCCTCCCGGGAATTCTGCCAGGGAGCTGTGAAATTGTTCGGGTTGGACAATAAACTCCTATAGCTATTGTTGGCGTGCGCTGAGCTGCACATGGCAGGGCTAATGGAATCTGTAGCAGCTACCACCGTGAATATGTATCTGGCAGCGGGCAGGCTGTGGGGCGGGGGGAGGAAAGCTGGCGTACAGATTTCAGAGGCAGAATGCAGCTGCGGAGCCCTGAGCAGTGTGTCTGCCTTTTCGTCTCTCTGAATCTGATCCTGCAATATGCCAGCCTCCTTGGAGGGGAGGGGAGAGGTGGGACGAAGTGCCTCCCTTCTCACTCATTCCCAGCGCTGCCGAAATTACTCACTCGTGATAGGATGGGCGGGTGATTTGAGGCGGGAGCATCCGAGTGCGCTGCTACATCTGCCCGGTAACACCCCAGGCATAAAGAGCCGCGTATCAGGCTCGACTCTGCCAATGTTGCATTAACATCTACGTGCCAGGCAGGGCAACAGTGCCTGATGGAGGAGGCACACTGTTTTCTAGTGCGCCGATACACGTGAGAGTTTGCTGGTCATACCTGGAGCTGGAAAGTGGAAGTTGAAAAATCATAGTACTCTGTTTGTTTTTAGGATTTACCATCAAAGGAGCCTTTTCGTTTAATTGAATATCCCTGAGGCTGGAAGCTGACGACTGCCCCCCTTGGGTGTTTGCTTCTTGCACCAGTCCTTCCTCCTGGTGGCATGTGATGATGTGAGCTTGCTGGCAGCTGCAGAAAGGTCAGGGACCAGAGGAGGATGAGGGACCAGGTTTTTGAAGCAGGATTAGAGACCCAGAAAAAGGATGTTAGCTGCACCATGGGACAGAGAAAGTGCTTGATTTCTCAAGGCAGTGGGAGTCCCACCGTTTGCATAGCCAGGTGCTGCTGTGGTTTGTCCTTCTGGCCCCAACTTCCCTGCACCCCAAGTCCTGGGTGGCGGGACATTGCACGTCGCTGTGTTTGGTTGCCTGTGTTGCTGGTTATACCTTTGCTGCAGTGAACTTCAGATAAATAAAGGAGGTCAGCATCTGAAGCTGTAACCCAATATCCTCTCCCGTGTTTTAAATTTATTAGATGAAAGAAGTAGAAAAATGCTGTTTTGGGAAACATAATGAGATTTGAAGTGCCTTGCAAAGAGACACTGGAGTTTTGCATGAAAATGCACATCCGAGCTCCAGTGAGCAATCCCTCTGGGACCAGAGCAAGCCCAGATGGTGACTCCTCCAAGTGATTATTTTTCTGCCTTAAGCCTTTCCAGGAATTTGAGTGTGGGCAGACTGCCAGCGGACACTGGCTGTCCAGACAGTTTAGCAATGTTCCATGTGTACTCACTGCCAGAGATACCAAAGTCCAGCTGCTCTCCCTGATCTCTTTGTCCCTTTTACCTTCCCAGCCATAATTACACATGCCTGCACGCACGCACGCACTTGTGACACACACAGGAGCAAAAAATCACCTGGTGTTTCCTGCTCGTTTGCATATCTTACAAATTGTGATTGACAGCTCTAAAATTAAAGAGAAAGGAAAGCTCCAGAGTCTTAGAAAAATGTCTTGAATAAAAAAAAAAGGAAAAAAAAAGCATACAAACAACAAACCCTGCATCACACCACAGAAGGCAGGCATTCATCTTTCTAGGACAGCCAGCAAAAAACTGTTTAACCAGGTCTTGTACCTCTTGCCTTTGAGACACTCTTGTTTGGGTTGTCTCCCTTTCAGTGCTTCCCAAGCAAAATCAGTTCTCTCTTATCTTTACTGTTGCTGGAATTTGAATTGTGCTGAAAAGTTACTGTTTTAGGTCTTGAAGTAGAAGTTGGCTGGTTTATGCTGCATATTTGCATTTTTTTGCAAATCCAGTCCTATGTCTGTTAAGAGTTCAAAGTCTCACTGTGAAGTGCTTGGGCTTGGAAAAGTGAGGCAGTATTCACTGCTCTATGGTTCTCTTATCTCTTGTCTCCATTAAATTTATTCATTCCTCCTGTGTTCTCCAGGAGATTTTGGGCAGACCTTTTGTTACCGGTAAAGATGAAGTCAGCCATCTGAAAGATTGAACCAAAGAAACCAAAATGCACAACCCAAAAGAGTTAGTATTTGGTATTTTTGCAGGATGTTAGCTTTGACACTGGAGGCCATCCAAACCTCAGTGGTTCAATGCTATTTAGCAGAATAAAATCTTAGCTTCAGTTCCTGCATAATGAAACTTCATCCCGTTTCACAGAGCTTCGTAATACTACTTTCGATGCAGAGAAGCTGAACCCACATACCTCAAACTTTTGGAACCACTGGTTTTGGGGAGCCTGGTTTACCCATCACAGCAAAGGAGCCTGTCTCTATTTAGTCCCCTGTACAAGCTCCCTACTCTGTTGCAGGCAGAGAAGCCAGCCCTCTGCCTCTGCTCCCAGCTTTTCCCCGTGGGAGCATATTTAAATTCTGGATTTGCAGCTCATGTTCCAGAAGAGATTGGGGGAGGGTCCAAGCCCAGCACAAGCTCCCTATGGCAAAGGGGGAGCAGGATGAGCACCCCATGCTGAGGATGTCTCCCCGGGCAGCTGCCTGGGCCAGGATCTGCTGACTTACCTACCCAAGCCAACTGCCCTGGGCAGAAGGCTACAGAGAGCTAAAGTTAACCAAGGATGACTGCGCAAATGTGAGCTCGGCAGTTTTATTTTTAGTCGAACTTAAAAAGAAAAATCTGTAAGTCATGTGTAATATAATAATTTTAGCTGTTGCCAGGACACGCTGAGCTACTGTTAGGAGGAGGGGAAGGCCCATGCTGATCTAGCAGGGACCCTGTCCCTGTCTCCTGGCTGCCCTCGTCGCCGCAGTCGTGGTGCCGAGGTGATGGTGCTGACAGACCAGGGCAGGTCTGGATAGTGCCAGGGCTGCTGCGCTCTGGGTGTCACTGGTTCTTGCACATCTGAAGCTGCCCTGAGTTCTTTCATCCTCCCTATCTCCTCAAAGCCAGAGAATCTACCCTGAAACAGTGCTTTACCCTCCTCCCTCAGCTCTAGCTATTGGTGTTCCGTTACTGTTTATCAATATTTAAAGAATGGAATAATTAACTTAAGACTGATTGTATCAAATCATTAGAAGGTTTGGACTTTTCCTGCAGGCTCACAGCAGCTTGGAGGACCATAAACGTAAAGAGTGCTTTTAAAGATAGGTTTAATCTGAGTCTAGTGTGTCTTCAAAGTACTTCATACACATATAAACATCAGGCTTATTGTTCATTAGAAGTGAGGCTGCAGGGAGAGAAATTCCCCAATGGAATATTACTTGCCATAAGATAAGTATCATTACTACTTTCAGCATTCCCTTTAAAGTGGGCTATATCCTATCTCTGTCTTCTTTCACATCCGCTCTTAATTCTTCCTCTCTGTTCTTCTTACATGTAACACATGCTTTTCTTGTCGAGCTGCTGCTCATGTGAGGTGCATGGTTTCTCATCACCCATTCTTGCACAGCTTTCAAAACAGCCAGAAATGCAGATGACAGGTGGTGGCTGGACAGGGGCTGAGGAAAAGTTTCACTCTCCATGAAGGTTGATTAGGCAAGGCAAGGTAGTTTTCACGAAGAGAGTAAATGTGTTTCAGTTGCAGTATTTTCTTTAGCAGGTAATAGAAGAATTAGAAAGACTTTGTTGCCTTTGGGTGAAATAGGTAATGCAGAGAAAGCAACTTACTCCAATAGCAAAATCAACTCAATATAAAACTGCGAGTTTTTACAGGGGGGGTGCCTGTGATTTGGATCAGGAAACTCAGACGTTTTTCTGAGCAGTTCTGGGCAGGTGTTCCCCAGGCTGAGTATTTTGCTCAGTGTTTGGACCTGTAGCCATGGCTGTGAGTGTGGTACCCACAGCCTCTGTAGTGCAGCAGTGGCTAAGAAACGGTGGAGTTGGATCCTGCCGGAGATGGATATGGTGCCAGCACCTGGCTCTGGCCTACCTGCATGTGGCAGGGAGCTCCTCCCAGCAGAGTCCTGCCTGGACACCTGAATGTGAGACATCAGTAGCAGAGGGAGTTCAAAGCACCGGGTCAAAAAAACCCCCACCAGACATCAAAAACCTGGCTCAGATCCATCCCTGGCTCTGGGCTGCTGCTGTAAATAGCTCGCGTGGCTGAGGTTCACTGCCAGACTGGGAGATGAAGGACACGTGTCCCTGTAATGAGCTGTGGTGTGGAGTGGGGACAGGAGGCAGCTGCTGCCTCCACAGACCTGCGTGGTGTCATGTGAAGCTGCCCTGCTGGTGTCTCTGGGGCCCAGGGGTTTAGGAGTGACCCACCACCTTCTCTCTGCACCGCTCACAATGACTTGATGCTGACAATATTTTGTCTGTGCCTGTTCCTCAGGGCTCCCTGCAGTGCTCCCATGTTTTTTTAGGGCACATTAGGGTGAAGGCAATGGTCGTCATTGCAGGAGAAGAAGAGGCTGGAAGAGCAAAGCAGGCACCATAGAGACATGGAGGGTTTTTGTAGAGGAAGGAGAACGGGCCTTGGGAAATAAATGACTGCTGCTAAATGTGCCGAGTTACGGGCAGGTTGTTTCTGATATGCCTAAATTTTAAAATGTTTTCCTGATGCATTAGCAGACATGCCCAGGATTTTTCTGCTGTTCACAGCATAGCTAGCTGTCAACTGCTCCTTGACGTGAGAGTGGCAGTGCCTGACCATTTTTTTTTTCTAGAGGTCTTTTTCCTATTTGCTGATTTAGCGTGTCTGCTTATTTGTTTTCATTTCTTACTTATATAAGAATAGATACTTATATATTATGAGAATATATACTTACATATCTTGACGATATAACTCCCATCTACCTTTCCCACCCTTTCGTTGCAGAATCCAGAGGAGCTGTTGGAGGATCGTGCTCACAGGGAGATGATTCCTCATGAAGTCACTGGATCCCCTGCAGAAATCAAATGTGACTTTCCGTTTATCAGACTGAAATCAGAGCCAGCCAGACAGTGAAGCAAGCACAGTGGAGGGGGGACGGCGAAAGATGAAATCCAACCAAGAGCGGAGCAATGAATGCCTGCCACCTAAGAAGAGAGAAATCCCTGCCACCAGCCTGCCTTCGGAGGTGAAGCCGGTCCTGCCAAATGAAAACCACCGTGCAGATAACCTGGCATGGCTCCCCAGCACACCCAGTGGCCAGGGCGGCCTGGGGGGCCGGCACCGGCCCGGGGGCACCTCCTCGATGGAGGCAGGCTTGCAGCAGGGTTTGCACAAGTCACTGTCTGCAGGGCTGGACTATTCCCCACCGAGTGCGCCCAGGTCCGTTCCAACCTCTACCACTCTTCCCACGGTGTACTCGCCTGCCCTTTCCCAGTCAGGGACCCCCGTTTCCCCCGTGCAGTACACTCACCTGCAGCACACCTTCCAGTTTGTCGGGCCCCAGTACAGTGGATCGTACACCGGATTCATCCCCTCACAGCTGATTTCCCCAACAGCCAATTCTGCGACGGGCGCCGTGGCGGCGGCCACAGCCGTTGCGACCACTCCATCCCAGCGCTCCCAGCTGGAGGCTTATTCCACTTTGCTGGCCAGCATGAGCGGCTTAAGCCAGCAGGGGCACAAAGTTGAGCCGCACCTGGTCAGGACGCCTGGACTGATTGCTGCTGGGTCTCCTCCACCCACCCAGCAGAACCAGTACGTGCACATTTCCAGCTCTTCCCAGAGCACTGTCAGAAATGTCTCTCCTCCAACCATCCCAGTCCCCCTGCACCCACATCAGACAGTGATCCCGCACACCCTCACCCTCGGCCCTTCCTCCCAAGTGGTGGTGCAGTACACTGACTCGGGGGGCCACTTTGTCACCAGGGATCCCCCCAAGAAACCTGAGAGCAGCCGGCTGCAGGCAATGCAAGCCAAGGAGGTACTGAATGGCGAGATAGAGAAGAGCCGGAGGTACGGCATTTCGCCTTCTGCTGACATGGGTCTAGTCAAAGCAGGCAATAAACCAACTCCCCATCATTACGAGACCAGGCATGTGGTGGTCCACTCGAGCCCCGCTGAGTACGGCGTGCGGGATTCCTCAGGTGTCCGAGCCTCTGTCATGGTGGTCCCCAACAGCAGCACGCCCACGGCAGACATGGAGGTGCAGCAGGCCGCCAACCGTGAGACCTCTCCTTCAGCCCTCAACGACAAGGGAAGTTTGCACTTAGGAAAGCCAACCCACCGGTCCTATGCCTTGTCTCCGCAGCAGGCTCTGGGCCACGAGGGGGTGAAGGCGGTGGCCACGCTGTCCCCTCACACCGTCATCCAGACCACCCACAGCGCCTCCGAGCAACTCCCCGTGGGGCTGCCGGCAACAGCGTTCTACACCGGGACCCAGCCACCGGTGATCGGCTACCTGAGCGGCCAGCAGCAAGCCATCGGCTACCCCAGCAGCCTGCCGCAGCACCTGGTGATCCCGGGCACCCAGTCCCTGCTGATCCCAGTTGGCAGCGCGGACGTGGAGCCGTCGGGAGTCGCACCTGCAATCGTCACGTCGTCTCCTCAGTTTGCAGCAGTGCCTCACACGTTTGTCACCACCGCCGTCCCCAAGAGCGAGAACTTCAGCGCAGAGCCCCTCACCACCCAGCCTGCCTACCAGGCCACCATGGTGCAGGCGCAGATCCACCTGCCTGTGGTGCAGTCCATTGCCTCCCCTGCCGCCGCGCCCCCCACGCTGCCCCCTTACTTCATGAAGGGGTCGATCATCCAGCTGGCCAACGGGGAGCTGAAGAAAGTAGAGGACTTGAAAACGGAAGATTTCATACAGAGCGCGGAAATTAGCAACGAACTGAAAATAGACTCCAGCACTGTGGAGAGGATCGAAGACAGCCATAGCCCAGGCATTGCCGTCATACAGTTTGCAGTGGGGGAGCATCGAGCACAGGTAATGGCAACGCATGATGGGCTGGGGGGGTTGGACTGGGATGCATCCTCTGGTCCCCCAGGCCACATCACAGCTCACTTGCTTTGGATTCACTCGGACTTGGTTCTTCATCCGTCTGTGATTCAAGCTGTAGACCAAAAATCATCTCCCTCACTGTGCTGGGGGAGCCGTCAGGTAACACTGGTGATAAATGCAGACTCTTGGATATGAAATGGGTCTCTTTTATAGCTGGAGAACTCATAGGAAGACTTACGTGAATTTCGTGGGGTTTGATTAAAATACTAGATAACGTAAGAAGTATAAAAGGTTACATTTTTCATTTTGGTAGGTGATTTTTACCATTCACACCAGAAAGGTCATGACAGAATCTGATCAAAACCTACCCTAAAGAGATAGGTAGGGCACAAGGCAGTGAATTTCCATGGCTTAAAAGCTTGGAGCTGCTTGGGAATGGTTCTCATGCACATAAGTTACTGAAATGCACTGGTGTTTTACCGAGGCTTCGCTTGAAGGTGGTTTTAACATTGCATGGCTCATGTAAACTCTGCAGTCAAGTGCAATTTGGAAGGAAAATCTGTCTAGGTGTCTGGGCAGGCTGTGCTTCTGACCTTTGTTCCTGTGTTTGCAAAGCAGGGAGAAAACCTGTAACTTTCCAGAGGTGTTTTTAGACTGAGAACAAGTGCATATTGATTTTAAAGCACTATCCTGATGTTGTCCATTTTCTGAGCATTTTAGATTCTGTTGGTTGATACTGGAAAGTTCCGATGTGTTGTGTAGCATTTTAGCTTCCTGGACGTACTCCGTTTAGATAATCCTATTGCAAATCTTTTTGTTTCGGTGCGAGTGCTGTGAACTTCACCATCTGCACCTCTGTTGCTGCAGCCTCAGCGCTGGAGAAGCAGAATGAGAAAGTGGGAGAATGAGAGGAACTGGACATGGACACAGGTAGTAACATACCTGATGGTTTGGAGGAGAAAAGCAAACAGTGATGGTACTGAGGAGCAGATCACACAGAAAATTTCCTACAGTCTCAGCAGCCTGTGGCCTGTCCTTCCCCAAGTGTACATACATAGTAAATCACTACATGAGGCATGTCCTCCTTCTCAAGTCAAACAGGCAGACTCCCTGTGTGGGTTTGTTCATGTATGTGCCTGCATCTGCACAGCTGATTGAGGTCGAGCCTCTGGTGCTTTCAGTATAGAGACTTGATTTTTTTCCCCACTGCTTAACTGTATTTTGGCACATCTCAGGCGTCATGGTTAGAGGAACTGTCCTTGGATCAGGACAGTTACTATAATTTGCCATGGTGCCTTGAATAATGAGATTTCAAAACTAGCAATCTCCACTCTGCAATTGCCATCTTGTTTACATTTCTCTGCCTGCAGCCAGCCCATCGGTGTCTGCACAGCAGAAGAGGTACAAATGAGCAGGTAGTGTTTGTGTCACGTCTTGGTCACAGCGCTGTCGAGGCCGGCAATGGGCTGCAGTCCTGGGAAGAGCTGTGGCTTTGCAGGGGGTGGAGTGCCATCCTCTGGCAGAAAAGGAGCAAGTCCCAGGCTGTACAATCCAGGGCCTGGCACACGGGTCTCACCCAGCAAAGTGTCACCTTACAGAGAAGACTATCGGGAGCAGGTTGACTTCACAGCAGCTGAAATACTCCCCAGTTGTGTTTCCCACCGGGGATGCTTCCAGAATGGAGGGCGATCACGTCAAGATATGATTAGAAATGGGAGTTTAATTTAGGTTTCCTGCAGATTCCAGGACTTGGGTCTCTTCGCAGATCAGCTGTGTCCCTTGCATAGCAGGGACGACTGCCGGTTTTCCCTCACCTTGGGGCGGGGGGAGAGAAAGAGGGAGAGAGACAGAGCATGCATTTCTACATGCTTGAAATCTCTGTGACCTCACCCTTACCCTGCTGTGGTGCACTGGAAGTATTCGGCCTCATGTGCAGGTGTGCAGCAGTCATTACTCCTTAGAAAATGGCCTGTGCGAAGAGGTTTAGTCTTCTCACTGAAAGAGCGGTGCTCTGAGTGCTGGCACCGTGATGCTGCCGCACTGAAATAGAGCTCTTGACTCCAGAGTGCAGGGGGATGGAGCTGCATGTGTAGTGCAGCTCCAAGGATTTCATTACAATTGAGTTTCACTAGCATACGTGCTTCTGCAAGGAGGGAGCTTTTCGAGTGGTATTACCAAGGGAGCGTAAGTTGTAAAGAGTAAGTGCCATACAAAAATAGTGTTGTTATCATTAGCTTTGGCTCACTTACTTACTCCTCCCAGGGATCTCTGGGAAGTCATTATAATATTGATGAATTTGTATTTTCAGGCTCTGTGCAGACATTAGCTAATTTTCTCACCAGTTGAGGGACAGAGGTAGGAGGTTATTTTCAGCTGAGCATATGTAAACAGAGAGGCACCGGGCAGCTACTATTGTGTCATGTCACTGCAAGCCCAGAGCTAGTCCTCCCCAGCACAGCACTTAGGCAGAAAGGGGTCATCTCCCCTGCTTTTCCAGTCCTCCAGTCACCTGGAAAATCCATCCCTCTTGCAGGTATGGAAACGCAGAGGAAAATCTCTAGAGGAAAAAACACCTGAAGGCCTTAGTAACTGAAATAATTGAACTAACTGTCTTTATCCCTGGAGGGATGCTAGGTTTCCATTTCACAGCATCCCGGCTCTGGATTAAGAAGTGAAATAAGTGTCAACTGGGCCAGAATCCAAAGTCCAGCTGCTACTTCTCTGCATTCAAGATGCCTAGAAGACAAGACTCGTGGGTCTACATCTCTCTGGAATTCCACATATTATTTTTGTAACAAGAATTTCATCATTATTACCTGTCTGTCCTTTTGCTGCCAGGAGAACATAGAAGCCATAATTCACCTCCCTTGATGCTAAGGTCAAAGCACACAGGCTATGCAAAATAAATTCTCTGAAATGCTGCATTTCAGTTCCTGATAATTTCTAAAGTATAGATTAAGTGGAAAAGATGAGCATATAGTTCTTAATTTTCCTTCTTAAAAAAACCCCAAAATGTCAAAACCAAACTGGAATCGTAACCACTAGAGATAGGAAAGTCCCATTACAGTATCCAGTTAGTAGCCTTAACTGGTTTAGTTTAATGCATATTTTAGAGTGTCATCTTGTTTAATTTTCCGCTTACATCTTTCAATGCATGCACAAATGGTTACATTTTCTTGAGCTCCCCTTTTCATTATCTTTGTCACTGTAACAGACACAGAAAGAGATGTTGACTTAGTTCACTGCTGCAGATGGAGATCTCTCCCAGCCTTCCCCTCATGTGATCTCTGTGTCCCCTGGTCACAGGACAGTAAGTCCTTTTGTCTCCAAGTGATGGGTGCCTGTGGTCTGGCCTCACGTTACTGAGTTCTGTGAGTGCAGCAGATGACACAGCTCATGTGATAAAGGTGGCAGCCTGTGGTCTGCTGGAACGAGAGGCGACTTCTCTTGAGAAATTACGGGATTGCATGACTGCAGAGAGCAGCAGCCCCTGATGTTCCAGCCCTGCCTGCCTTTGCTATCGTAACAGTGGACTGAACTGGGGTCGATGCAGCCCTGGGGGTGCCCAGTCAGACCATGTTCTGGAGAGTGCTTCTGTGGCACAAGGTGCTGCCTAGAAATCTCTTACAGGAAATCCATTCTTGTGAAGGCATCGGAGTGCAGGGGCAGCATTACAATTCCTAAAGTTTCCCTGAACAAGGGAGGTTGTGTGGGAGCAGGGCACTGCAGAGGCTTCTCTCTGTGAGAAGGAGAGCTTCTATTCTGTGAATCCACCCAGTTGTTTTTTAAGCCCGAGGAGCCTTTCAGCACCCACAGCAAGGCCTTCAGTGGAGAGCTCTGCTGCTTAATTGCACATTGTTTCCAGAACTGCTTCCTTCTCTTTGCTTCCAACCTGCCACTCCTAGTTTCATCACATTTTAATAGCATTATGGAGAAAAACACTTAATTGGAAAATATATGCTTACACTTACTAAAATATTGTTCACAAGAACCGCTTTCATTAGGCACCTTTTGCTTTTGTAGTTGTTATTTTGGTTGTAGCAGCGAGGCCCAGCACTAAAGTTGTTGTGTTTCTTAATGATGGGAAGGGTGTTTCCTGGGCATCAGACCTGCCAGCCCCTAGTGTCTGTATCCCAGCTCCAGCTGGGGTTTCTTAAGCTGTCTTAAGTCTTGCCTACTGAGTTTGGCTGAGAACTAAAAATTACAAAGGATTATAGAAAGTTGCAGATTTCAGTGGCTGCACTGAGAAGTTTTGGGTGTTTTCACCAGTCAGTGTTAACAAATAGAAATACAAATGTAGCTTGCAGTAGAGCCTCGGCATGCTTTGAGGGGAACCAACATGTTTGTTTCTTTCTTTATCCTCTTAACTAGTAGGTTAGAAAAGTTCCAAATTTCTTTCGCTCCTATAATAATTGTGGCAAAACACTGGGTGGATGGGGGGAAACTTTTAAAATACGGGGGTTTGTGTTTTAATGCAGTGGTCAGAAAAAAATTTTTGGGGCGTTTTTACTGAACTTTCACACTTCAGAGGTCTTAAACTACTATTGTTTCTAGAGGATGGTTGCGTCAGATTCCTCCTTAGCTGAATCCAGAAGCAGACAGCTAAAACAGGGCTCGATAATACATGAGGGAACCTATTTCAAATCAATAGTGGTACATGCACAGTGTTACCACATTGTGGAGATTCCAGCATTCCAACATCTTTGGTGTTATTCATGATCACCACACCAATTCTGGCATGTGTTTCAGTGATCAACCCTTCAGGCAAGTGTTTTGGATGCTATATTAAAAAAAAAAGAAAAAGCATAATGTGTGATGGAAGTGTGTTGTCATCAAGGGGAACTTGTGTATTGGTGAGGATGATGCACACAAGCATGATTCCCATAGATACAAATAGCTTTTAACAAGGATGGAAAAGTAGAAAAACAAAGGAAAGAAAACGCGGCAGGCAGGCAGAAAGAAAGAAGTGAGAAAAAGCAATATAAAGGAAAAAACTGTGTCTACCAGATGATCCATGCCTGGAGACAGCCTACAGTTTTTGTGCAGACAGCAGTTTCCACGTAAGTTCATGGGAGATGCTGGATACTCAGTACTTCTCCTGATTAGACTCCAGTTAAATTGAGATGCATATAAGGGTAGGAATAGGATCCCAAGTTCTAGGCAAGTATTTCTGAAAATCCTGGTGCTGGACTGTTTCTATCCAGCGACGTGAAGGGATGGGGCTTTCATGGTTACCTCACCCCACTCTCCATAGTTCAGAGCTTAAACCAGGGCTCGAGTCACGTCCCTTTCCACTATTACAGTGTGTGTAGTTTGACTGTTGGGAAATAGCTCTGGTTGGAAAAGGTTTAGCATGACAAAATGATGTGGTATCTTACGCCTCTAAACTGCTCCTTTTGAAATTCCTTGTACAGTGGCTTACTGTGTTGGGCAGGTGGAGTTGGCAGGATAATGGATGCAGTGTTATCCACTAGCCTAGTTGCAGAAGTACATAGCATATATTTATAGACTCAATTAGGTTTTTTCCAACAGAATCAACCCTTTCATAAACAGCAGTTGGCTGCTAGAGCATGGCATGCACTTAGAGACATCGTCAACATCTGGTGGGAATCATTTGTTTCCTGGTTCTGGAGCATCTGTCTCTGAGCTGTTGGACATTCCTGAGCAAGTCTTCTTGCCCCAAGGGGCTGTGGAGCTGGTGGGGTGTGAGGGGCACTACCAGGGGCCTTGCTTGCAGGGAGGGCAGCTGGGGGGTGTCATTGCTAGCAGGGATGGGGCAGGGCTGCTGAGGACAGTGCTTCCATAGAGTCCAGCCTCTTCTGTGAGACACTTAATATTATGAACAAATGTGTTGGAACACTGGAGTGCAGTGTGCACCTCAAACTGCTTCTGTGTCGAAATGCATTTTTAATGATGCAAGGCCATGCTGGGTGTGACAGCGTTACTCGTTACCGGAGGTGAGAGCTGGTTTCACAAGCCTGTGATGTCCTTTTAAGTGAGTCCATGGTCCTGGAGAGGGAAGGCTCTCCAGGCAGCTGGTATAGTCCATGCCTGCTGAATGGCTCAGAAAGGAAGTGAGCACATGTATTCAGGTGATCTCCTACCCTTTTGCCCCTACCAAATGAGAGTTGCACCAACAGAGTGGGATCCTGCCCCTATGCCTGAGAAGAGCTCCAGAGCACATGAGAACCGTGGGAGCAGAGCAGTGGGTATCTGTCTTCAGCACAAGCCAGCCTCTTACAGTCACAGACCTCACTGGTGTGACAGGCAGCAGTTAAAAACACGTGCCAAGTTTTAAAGAAGTATTAGTCAGAATTTCCTGCTCTCTTTGTAGTGTGCTGGAGAGGGGGGAAATCAGCCCCATGGGTTGAGAGTCACATGAGTCCACATCAAGTGTTTGAGACTGCACTGAGTGCTGGACTGTTACCACGTGCAAAGATAAGTGGGTATTTTATCGTGTTTTTATCAGGTGTTTTTATCATGTTGGGACCTCAAGGCCCAGCATTTGCAAGGTCAGGGAGCAGGGGACACCTGCTGTTGGTCTGTTCTGGCTATGGCAGATCCCTGTAACATGGTTAGGCAGGATTCCTAACCAGATGTGTCTTTAAAATGGGGTGAAGCAGGGGGAAAGGGAACATGGTACAGAAAAGGAGACAGGGTACAGGAAGCACAGGAGGAAGCAGGATCACCATCTCTTTGAGGAAGTGCAGGAGGTAAACTCTGCAGCAGAGTGGAAGACCAGGTGTGGGAAGGGAAGAGACTGGACTGGTAACAGACTGCTGGGGGAAAGCAGCCTTTCACTTGCTGCTCTTATGGCTACAACTCTGTACGTGCTCACGGCCTTCCCCTGGCAATTAGAGTGCCTTCACCCTTTCACACTGCTCAGTGAATGCTTGTTCGGACAGAGAGCAGGGTGCCATTCCTGTGATCATTTAGGAAATCGTGTCAGAACTGAGAACTTCTCTTGAGCCATCCTGTGGTTGGAAAGAGTCTTCAGATTTGAATTACAGGTCCTAGGTACCACAAGGGGATGGTGGGAAACAACTTGCCAGGCACTGAAGCTGTTCTAACTCTTATGCCTGTCTGAGTGGCTGGATAAAGGTAAAGCTTGATTCCTGCTGACGTTTGTGCTATGAAATACTGAGCTCAGAGAAAGTATTAACAGCTGGGTGACAAGGGCTGGAGTGAAGTCTGACGACCAGTATTCTGATTTTGCAGAAACTGAACATCGCCTTTGCAATTCCAGCTTTATCCCTCTCCCCTGTGGCAAGCACTACGCATGTGTGAGGGCTCATGGAGTGATCTCATGCTCTCCCCTCTCTCTCCCTCTGTCTCCTTGTGTTGTCCCGTCTCTTTCTGCAGGTCAGCGTGGAAGTCTTGGTAGAATACCCTTTTTTTGTATTTGGACAAGGCTGGTCATCCTGCTGCCCTGAAAGAACCAGCCAGCTCTTTGATTTGCCATGCTCCAAACTCTCGGTGGGGGACGTCTGCATATCGCTCACGCTCAAGAACCTGAAGAACGGCTCTATTAAAAAGGGCCAGCCCATGGACTCAGCTAGTATCTTGCTGAAGCATTCAAAGAATGACAGTCTAGCTGGAAGTAGACACAGGTATGCGGAGCAGGAAAACGGGATTAATCAGGGAAGCGCACAGATGTTAGCTGAGAACGGTGAACTGAAGTTTCCGGACAAAATAGGATTGCCTGCAGCACCTTTGCTCACCAAAACAGAACCCAGCAAGCCCCCAGCAACGAGGAAGAGGAGGTGGTCAGCCCCTGAAACACGAAAACTAGAGAAATCAGAAGAGGAGCCGCCTTTGACTCTTCCCAAGCCTTCTTTTATTCCTCAGGAGGTTAAGATTTGCATTGAAGGTCGATCCAACGTAGGAAAGTAAAGTCGTTTGGGGAAAGGAAATTAGGCTATCCCTTGTCATTTTTATCCAGATTACTGTACTGTAGACTAAATAACCCAGTATTTACATGTTATCATCTTACTTTAGGTTTATGTTATAACCTTGTTGTTATAGTTGCAGCTGGTATTATGCAGGAGACTGGTGCATATGTTTTTCCACAAGTGTTTGTCAGTGACTAGGTTTATCGAGAGCTACAGAAGGGGCAGTATCTGCTTCACACACCCTTAGTGGAAATGAATGTGTTGTCATGGCTCCTGTTTTCTAACACCTCGTGTAGGACAGGGTCCAGCTGTGATTTTGTTTTCTTTTTGTCGTTGTTGTTTTTCTTTTTTTTTCTTTTTCTTTTTTTTTTTGTGTTTGTTTTGTTGTTTTGGTTCCTGTTCTAGTTTTTTTGGGAGGAGGTGAGGAGAAGGGAACTGTAGCAGAGGTGTGTGTCAAACATGGGGTGCGTGTGTATGTGTGTACGTGTGTGTGTGTGTGTGGGCATGTGCCAGCCCCTGGGGCGGGACGGCCGCTCTCTGGCGGGTTGGTGATGAGGTTCCTTCACCCCAGGTGGATGCTGAGGACACAACCCTTGGGTGTGTTACTGAAAAGGATCAGACAGTCTCTGATGTTTTCAACAACAAGCCAACTCTTACTCAAGGCTCTACTATATATATATATATATATATATATTTGTGTGTGTGTATATGTATATATATATTTTTCCCCCATGGGGTCTGACTGCACTGATTTTTATTCCTAAAGCAAACTGCCACACCACATTTCCTTTCTGCTTGCTAGTGCAGTTCCATTGCCTGGAGTCAGCGGCGGCGAGGCTGCAGGGACTCTGGCGCCGGTCGCCCTGCAGGGATTCCCTTGAGGGCGGGGGGTGGGTGCGTGCGTGTGGCGTGGGTGGGTGTGCGTGGGTGTGCGAGGAGGCCTCTGGCTCTGCGGATGCGCCTGGCTCAGGCTCACTCCTGTTTCTGTGCAGTGTTAGACAAATCGACCGGGTTACGCCATTGACATTCGCTTCCATAAGGTAGATGCAGACTGCCCCTTTGAGATCACAGGCATCCATCGTTTGCAGTTAGGTTGCAAATCTGTCTTTAACTCTAGTACTGGTTTTGGTTCATGGTTATGGACAACTGGTGCCACTTTTTTCAAATTGCGGTGTGTGACACAGGAATCCTCTGTTGAAGATGAACCTAGAATGTCTTTAAGCACTTAAAATGCTGTTCACACTTTATTGCTGAGCATCCTGGTCTAACACTCAGTACGTACTGTATATCACTTTAATCTGCTCGGAAAGCAACAACAACAAACAAATCTCTTCAACACTGTAACTACATGCAACTATGTAAAGTTTTCTCACAGGCAAGATGCTGAAAGTTTTAATGTGGTTTCAAAGGGATGAATGTGAATTATTGAACTAGTATGTGACAGTCATTGTCCACAAAGGACTACTTAATAGGAGGCACTTTTTAAACTTTAATGCTTGAGAAAGAGTTAGAGGCATATGCGAGCTGACATAATAAAAAAAAAATAAGAGAAAGAAAAAGGAAAGAGGAAAAAAAATCATTGTCCAGTGTTTTTGAAAAAGATGGACTTTAAAGAATCTTGCAATTTGCACATCTTGAGTTTATCATTTGTGTGGTATTCCTGCAGTTTTTACCTAATAATGTTGTGGGGTGGGGGGGGTCTGAAAGAGCATAAACAAATGTAGCAATTACTCACTAACCTGCCTACGCTCTAGGCCATTTCATAGGGTTATGTTCCTTTCAGAGTTCATTTTTGGTCTTTCTACCGTATTGGCCACACAGAACCAGGTCCTACCGGGACACCTCTGAGAATTCTTCTTCAGACTTGCTGAGAGAGTTTTCCAGAAAAAAACAAAAAACATTTCTATAAGTAAGCAAGGTGTTTGTTTGTTTTGAAAACAAACCTATTGTTATTTTATTATTATTAATATTATTATTATTTGTTATTTTAATTGCATCGTTTTCCATTGGAAAGGCGACATTTCAAGAGTTTGGTACAAACCAAGTAGGAGCGGGGGGATTCACGAGTTCAGTCTTTTCTTTCCCCAGGTAGGGCTGGATCCTCTGAGGTGCTGTGCACCCAGCCTCCTGCACGAGCCTCGGGGAGGTGCGAGTATGAAGTATGTCGGGGCTGAGTGCGAAAGCCTGTCGCTGCCTCTTGACAGATCCCAGTGGGATTTCAGTGGGATTGCGCTCGGGCCCTCCGTGAGCAAGCATTCATGTCGTCGTTTTTGGTTGGCGAGTTCACATCCTTCAGGTAGTTTTGAAGAAGCTGTACTCACAGGGAGAACAGGAAATCAAAGTCTGTTATTAGAAACACAGTAACCTAAAGTGAACAAATTTATTTAAAATCTTGTTTTCCCTCCCCCCTGAAATACAGTGCTTTTCTTTGAGAGAAGAAATGTTAACCCCAAAACCCATCTTTGACTCTTGTTACTTGTTACTTGAAATTTAGCTCACACCAGACCTAATTGTTTTTATACCATATTCTGGGGTGCACCAAAAAGTTGAAATATGTTTAAAATAGCTTGAAACTTTTTTTGAATTTCCTTGAATTTTATTAACCTCTCGGCGGGCTACCAAATAGCTGAGTGGGTTTCTTCTCACAATCACACAGCTTAGTTAGTGCTTATTTGTTAATATTTCTGCTCAGAGAAGTTGCTTAATCTTCCATATACTCTGCTCAGGGCACTTGCAATTTATTGTTTCGTTTTGTTTCCTGGTTTTTTTTAAGCTTTGATGGTAAAGGAATAGAAAGAATACAGATTTTAGTTCACAGTCGTACCACTATTTCTGTACTTCACGTGTACTTGGAAAAAAAGAAATCTCAAGTAAAACCATACGCATACACATTTGTGGTTAATAAGGAAGCAGGGGCTATTAAACTGACTGGATCTATTCAACTAACACTAAAAAAATAAAAAAAAATAATAATAAAAAAATACATTTGGAGCAATAGGAATGTATTAGTTCTGTGCTTGTATTTCAGACTGAGGAATTCTGAAATAACTGGTTCTTTCCAAACAATTGTCCCCTTCCATGCTTTAGCTTTTGTAGGATGTGCAATACTTTACGTGCCAACTTAGACTCACCTGTGTGGTGTTAGCTAGATCTCATACCCACTTCTGATTTCCCCTGTTTTTGTCTCTTGAATTATTTCTTTCTACCTTTCTCCCTGCCCCCCGCCCCCTCCCCCATTAATAAGTCTCTCCCTGTCCTCCCCCCTCCAAAAAATCCACACCATATTAAGAGTAGAAGATCCCTTGCCCCGGGAAACACGACCCCTTTTTGTATTTGTTGTTTAAAGAGATCCAGGAAGGAAAAAAAAAGCAAAAATAGAGATGTATTCATGTCTACATGGCATCCAGGCAGAGGGTGGCACTCAGCTATACGGCCGAGTGTTACCTTCTGCCTGGACACACGCACACAGGAGCTGGCTCCCACCGGGGCCAGGTCCTTTGCAAGGTGGGGCTTTGCCTCTCCCTCTGGCACTGAGCATCCCTTGCGGTGCAGCCCCAGGCCCGGGAATGCCATCAATCCCCAGGGCATGTGCACAACACCACTCGTAAGCACGGGGATGCTGAGGTGAAGCCAAAGGAGGAGGCTCAGCCTCTGCTCTGCGTGGCAGCCGCTTTGCAATAGTAACTAACAGCAGTTTTCTTTTTGTCTGTTTGTTTCTTTCCTTTTGTAGCAGGCCTCTTTAGTTTACAACGAAATGCATACAATCACCAAGAAATTAGTCAGGGCAAAGAAAAATAAAACCAGAACCTCTTTATAGGGATTTCTAAAAAAAAAAAAAAAAGTCTATTTGTCTGTCTGTCTGTCTATCTATCTATCTATCTATCTATCTATCTATCTATCTATCTATCTATCATCTATCTATATATCTATATATATAAAGTGACTGTTCCTTATAGCGTTTAACTTAGGCATTGTTTCAGTTTGTCTGGGCCACATCGTGGGGAATTTGAGTTTGATGTCACTTACCTCGAGTCCTCTGGTCGAGACCCGAATCGGAGTCGCTGTTGACCTATTTTACCATTTTGTACCTTGCCCTTAGGCTTGCTTTCCCTCGAAGATGCAGACCTTGGGAGGAGGGGAGGGACACACGTTCCTTTTTTCATTCCTTTAATTCCTTCGTCCCACTGTCACTTCATTTGACCTGTCGTTCCCGTCATTTTCTCAGCATGGGGAAGTGACATCACTACTCTTGTTTCCCTTAAATCAAGGAACATTTAGAAACCTTTCACACCTTTTACTCAGGGATGGGGCTGGCGTATGTGTGGTACACTGATGTGACCAGAAGCAGCACTTTTACTGCTCCGGAGTAGGGATGTACAATGTTACAGACAAGTTTGGATTTCCTGCATCTCATGGTTTAAACTTTGTAGATCTCACTTAGATTGCAATACAAAAGCAGCAGGCTCAGCATGAACTGTAGCTGTTGGTTATCATGAAAATACACTCTCTGCAGAGATTTATGTTAATTTAAAGTGTGTTGCCAGTAGTAAAAAGGAAATGGTGAAATTTTGTTAATTCTTGCAACTGCTTAAAAAAAAAATCCTGTGTCAAGGAGAGCGAATTCTCAATCTTTTTAAACACTAATAGTGTTGTTTCAGAGTGGCTTTTGGTTCAATGCTCTGCATGTCATGGGACCCAGTTCTGCAAACACTTATACATGTGCCCATGGGAGGTCTGGGCTGGCCAGTGAAGCCTGCTCAGGAGCTTGCTGTAAAGCACATGTATAAATCTTTGAAAATGAAACGTGGTTCAATCAGGGCCGGATCCTGACCTTAATTGGGCAGCTGGAAAAATGCTGGGGTTCACCAGGGCAGAAGCCTTGGGTGGGTGGTAGGGATTTGGCCCATTGAAACACTTCTGCTGTCCCAGAAACTCGACAAAAGGCAGAATGGGATATGCAGTCATACAGTTTCCATTTCTTCCCTCCCCATCGTCACAGGTAGCAGCAGAGTCCACTGTGGGCTCTGACCAGTGCTGATGTAAAAAGCAAGGGGAATGAACATAGCACCAGAGTGGAGGCAGTAATTTCTCTGGTTTTTCCAACCCTCCCACTCCCCCAAATCCTGTAATACATAGAAAAATGAAAATTTGTTGATGCAGATAGATATGCATATGTGCACACACACCCCCAGGCAAGAGTGTCTGTTTGCACACAAAGAAGTTATGTGTGCATTTTTTTTTACGTGTATGCCTACATGTCCACTTGATTCCCTGTCCTGAGGACAGCCTTGCTTTGTGCCCATAGGGAAATTCCAAACGCATTGCACACCTCTACTCCAGAGTTCAATTTCTTTTACATAGACGACCTCGCTTCAGATGTGTTACCTTTACTGATAGGATCTTTTCTTGTAGCACTATACCTTGTGGGAATATTTTTTGATGTAAACCTAATTTGAGAAGCTTATTAAAAATAGAAACTTTTTTTGAAGCACTCACATTGAGGAGTACAGGTAATGTTTTAAAAAATTGCACAAAAGAAAAATGAATGTTGGAATGATTCATTCAGTGTTTGAAAAAGAGATGGCTCTGTTTGAACAGTGAGTTTCATACCTTGTTTGTAAAAAAAAAAGTTTTTAAATACAAAAGCAGAGAAAGGTTGAAAGTTACATGTTTTTTGTATATAGAAAATGTCATGTCTAGATGATCTGATTTGTATTGGCTCTGGCCAGGAAGAATTATTACTTAAAAGGCTCTTAAAGAACAACTGTGCTTAATTTTCTGTTCGTATTACATGGGTCCCATTTTTGGGGAATGGAGTCACACTGTTTATTCCTGTGCTGAAAATACACCTTGGAGCAGCAATTCTTGAGTGCAGCTACCGGGCACTTCGAAGGGTGGCTA